TACACCACCCCAAATAACGTTTATTGACATTGATGAAACTTGGTGGGGCCCTGTCTGTGCCTGATTACTTCATTCCAGTGTGTCTACATTTACTTATCAGTCTGGACATTTTAAGAAGCAAGACAAGGAGCCTTTTTTCCCATCATAAAGTAGTTCGACAAATAACACAGGAAGTCTTTGTTTGCTGACTATGCATTTTCCGTCATTAGCAGTAACAGGGGTCACATCTTGGACTTTTAGGAACATGTTTCTGTGCCAGCGACCCATGTTTTTAACCAGTTTGGCACTGTCGGAAGGATACTGACACATGCTAACTTGCTAAGAGTTTGTAAGAGTGTAGTCAGGAGTTAAGAAAGTGGATCTAACTTGGAGTCGACATCTTGAAGTTTTCTATCTGACACTAATTCCTGCAAATTGAAATGAATGAATGAGGAATGTCAGGTATTCACTGTACATAATGCACTTTTGTCTAAGGGTCAAACATGCTGAGCCATCCACACAAAGCTTTTAAGGTTGGACAAAATGTTTGCTTGTTTCCCATAAGCTTGGGGTCAGTGGGGAAATGGCTGAAGTACATTGTTTTATATCAAGTCATATCAAATTCAGACTGTTGTTCCACAGTGGCATTCAAATGCATTGCGTAAAGATTTTTTTTTCCTTTTAAATTGATTTAAGCTCAGCTCCTTCAGTCTGAGCACTGGAAATCAGTTTATTCTGAGAAAATTTCTCTGCCTGTCTAAACCACTGAGACGCATCTAGACTTGTTATCGGCAACATTTTGAGCTAGTTCTTCTAATGAAAATAAATATGTCAAAGTTCTAAAACAGGAAATAAAGTATTTATTGATCATAAAAAAATGCAAACAAATCAAAAACTGCATAAAAATCTCTACTCTAAAATACGTTTTTGTAGGCTTAATTTAAGTAATAGTCAATAAAATATTCAGGGGGAGGTACATGCATGTTGATGCATACTCTGCCTAAATATTTTCTGTGCCTTTGTATAAAGACAGTGACACACAAAACTGGTGAACGCAGAATTTGGTGCAGCTGTTCACAGCAACCAATCAGATTACAGGTTTTATTCTCAAAACTTAATAGAACAAGCTGAAGTTATAAGCTGATTGGTTACTAAGCACAGCTGCACCAGATTCTGCATGCACCACTTTTAGTAAATCTCCCCCATTGCAGACCAAAAGTCGAGAGAACTTCTCTTTGAACTGAAAGGGGATTCTTTACAACAGCTGACCATAAACTCATCTTGCCCAATACAGATTTGCTTTGTGTGGACACTCATACTGCTGGAGAAAAATATATGCTGGAAAGGAGGTAGATGGGTTATGGAGGTTATAGGCTATACTGGATTTACATTTCAACTGGGTGCTTGGCACTTGCCACAAACAAGAGATCCCTGTGCTCAAATCCATACAGCTAGTGCATGCATGCACTTGCCAAGCACACTCAGGCCTGGCCTAAGGCCTAAGTGCAATTTCGGATTTGACCTGGGTCACAGTGGGTGTGCGTGGCCCCGAATGCAGACAGTGTGCATTCAAGGCCATGCCCCCACACCCATGGGGCAGCACAGTGACTAAATGGTTAGCACTTACACCTGGCAGCACTAAGGTCATCAGTTCAAATCCCAACCACGGCACCACCCACCTGAAGCTTGTATTTTCTCCCTGTGCATGCATGGGCCTCCTCCGGGTACTCCTGTTTCCCCCCACACTCCAAAGACATGCTGGTAGGCTATTTGGCTCCTGTGTAAATTGGTCCTAGTATGTATGAATGTGAGTTAGGAACCTTAGATTGTATGCACCTTGAGGGTTAGGGACTGATGTGTGCAACTCCTAAGGGGGTAGTGCTAGGTGTGTATATATATATATATATATATATATACCTAGCACTAGCTAGCACAGCCAGGTAACAAGCATTTCCTTCACTTATACTTGCAATAGGAGGCAGTAATCAGTCCTTGAGCTTTGATTTGAAATTGTATAAGGACATTTGGAACTTTGATGAGGTAAGGGATGTATGGGATGCTCAAGGGAAATGGCAACCAAGGACAAAACTCCTTAATAACTATGTACAAGTCTTTACAGCAAAGTTTCTCTTCTGGAGAGCTAGCTAGCATCTCCTGTAGTACCAACTCAGACCTCAGATTACTCCTCTCCTCATCTAGCTGTGCTGGGTGGATCCCTGGGCAGGGGATCCAGTGCCTGACACTGCAGTGTGAAACAGTTCGGGGTAAGATAGCAAATCCAGTTTCCCACTAGTGTGCTCCTTTCCCCTTACTGGCCCAGTGGGTGCAGGTTTACCCACTTGGTCCCTCTTCTGTGCTGCTGGTGGGTTGGTAGCTGCTACCAGGCCTTCTAGCTGGGCTGAACCTTCCCTGCCACACAGGTAATCCTCACTCAGGGGGCCAAGTTTCCACCTTCCAAGGTCATATGCCTGCAGGTGAGCCCCTCTCCATCTGGGCCCCTTCACAGGCTCCAGCCTTAAGACTCACATCCTTCTCTGCTTCTTCCACCCACACTCTCCAGCTGCTGAGCTGGCTGCATTACTTTTAAGGGTTGTTCTGGCTCCTTTCCAAGCCTCCTGTTGGGGATTGGCTAGACTCCCTCTAAAGAGCAGACCAGCCACTCCTCGGATCCACCCAGTGCTTCTAGACCTTTCTTCAAAGGTCTAGAGCAGAAGGAAATTCCAGAAGGCTGTTCTGCAGAGCCTCTGAGCTCTGACCGGATTTTGACCCCTGCTAGCTATTACTCCCAGGCTGCTACACAGTCCTAGCTAACAGTGGGAGTCTAGCTCCCCCTAGCTACCTAGGAGTGTGCTACATATATGTAAAGCCCTGGGTAAGTTGACTGCACTATATAAGTACCTGTAATGTGGCTGGCAAATTGGGAGCTTTGTCCGTGCAGCTGTTGTGTTCCATGACATGAATGGGACTGCCTGCTTTTGGATGCACAGAATGCCTGTGCTTCCCCATACGGGCAAACATGCCCCTCGCATAGGTGTACGCTAGTGTACACCTGTGTGAATGAGGCCTAAGCTTCCTGGAGGCATAGATTAATGTGACTGTACAGTATGTAAAGTGCTGTGAGTATTGTTGACATACTATAAATACCTGTAACAAATAATAATTATCCTGGTAGATCCCTATGCAAATGGGTTCTAATAAAGGGTGGAATGCAACTTCAGAAACACAGACATTGGACATGATTTTGCATATAGCGCCCATGTGCGCATAGCATGTCTGAAGATATTGGCTATAGTCCCACTTATATATGGCTGAAGTAAGAAATTTAGGTTGTACAAGGCTTTTCCCCTTTGAAATAGCATAGAAGTACATGGAACTGGAAATGAGCTCAAATATTATCATTTCATCTTATTCTTTCTTCATAGAAAAACTCAGAACTTCTCCTATCTTATTACTTAAAGGCCTTGTTCACACCATACGTTCAGAAATACTTGAGGGAAACTGGCGTGCAGATTTCACTTGCAGAGAAATCAGTTTATATCAGTCTCCATGCGTGCTTCAATGAGTTTTATACAAGAAAAAAATCTGCACGTGATACTAGTGTTTTGGTGTGAACAGGGCACATAGAGAACAATTGATTGCAGAAAAATTGGTGTCTCTGCATCGTGGTGTGAATGAGCCCTAAAGCATTTTTTTGCTACTTAAAAAGCAGAAGAACAAAACAAGAATAACAAAATCACATATAGGGTTATGAATGAATATGTTTTTAAAGTAGAACTAAAGGCAAAACTTTTTTTTTTTGTATTTTGGATAGAGTAAGGGAGGGTTCTAACCCCTGTCAGTTTATTTTTACCTTCTGTGTCCCATTGGGGAGATTTCCCTTCACTTCCTGTCCCATAGCCAAAACAAGAAGTGAGAGAAAATCCCTGCAAATTAACCGCTTTACTACTGCACTGTAGCAGAAATACTGCTACAGGGCGGCACAGGTGCACAAAATCATGTATATATACGTGATTTCGCATTTCTGGGTAGGGGGCACGCACGCGCACCCTACCCACACTGCCACTTGCGGCTGTGGCTGTCAGTCACCGGGTCCCAGATGGTGATTACTCGCTGGTGCCCCGTGATTACCGAGGATATCCAACGGGGAGGAGAACTGCTTTGTTTACTAACAGCTCCCTGTCAGCTCGGGCACGCTGCTCTGGATAGCCATCCAAAGCAGTGTGCTTACAGTGAAGCACACAGACATTGCCCCAAAGTAAATCAGCGCACAGTTAACCCTTTGATCGCACCTCATGTTAACCCCTCCCTGCCCAGTGCCATTAGTACAGTGTCAGTGCTTTTTTTTTTTTAGCACTGATCATTGTATTGGTGTCACTGGAGATGTCAGTGATACCAAATCAGTTCCCTCCAATGTCATAATGTCCGCTGCAGTCCCGCAGCCCCACTATAAGTCGCTGATTGCCGCCATTACTAGTAAAAAAAAAAAAATTCCTAGTATATATACCGTCATTTGTAAACGCTATAACTTTCACGTAAACCAATTAATTTACACTTATTGGGATTTTTTTTAGCAAAGACATGTAGCAGAATACATTTTGGCCTAAATGTATGATGAAATTTGATTTTTTTAAAAAAATTGTTTAATAGCAAAAAGTCAAAAATATTGTTTTTGTCTCAAAATTGTCGGTCTTTTTTTTTTGTATCGTAAAAAAATAAATGCACAGGCGATCGAATACCACTAAAAGAAAGCTCTATTCGTGGGAAAAAAAGGACGTAAATGTCATTTGGGTGCCGTGTTGCATGACCGCCTCACAGATCGCACACCCCGGAGCCTGATGAACGGTGTGTTGCCAGGACACACCGGATCACATTACTGCTGTGCTCAGGCGATTATGTGGTGTTTTACCATGTGATTGCTGTGACCAATCACAGTACTCACATAGTAAACAATGAAACTGAAAGTAAAGATCACTTCTTTCAATGTGAGTGCAGAGAGAAGTGATCCTGTAGTGTGTGAGTGTACACTGCCTGTCAGGCTGCTTGTACACTCACACACTGCAGTGCCAGCCACCCCAGTGCCCAAGTTTAGTGCCCCTGTGTCCCTGATCACTGCTTCAGAATATCAATAATAAATAATGCAGGGAGGCCCTGCCACCTGTTCCAGTGCGCACAAAAAAACCCCCATACACAAAACCAATGATCACCGCCATACTAGTATCCTGATCACCGCCATACCCCAAACCAACACCCTGTTCACTGCCATACACCATACCAGCACCCTGATCACCGCCATACCCCATACCAGCATCCTGATTACCTCAATACCCCAAACCAGCATCTTGATCACCCGATATTCCATACCAGCATCCTGATCACTGCCATACCCCATGCCAGCGTCCTGATCAAAGCCATACCACATACCATCACCCTGATCATCACCATACCATCACCCTGATCACCACTATACCCCATACCAGTGTTCTGATCAATGCCATACCCCATACCAGCTTTTTGATCACAACCATACCCTATACCAGCATCCTGATCATAGCCATACCCCATAGCAGCATCCTGATTACCCCCATACCCCATAACAGCATCCTGGCTACTGCCATGCCAGCGTCCTGATTACCGCCAGACCTCATGCTAACGTCCCAATCATGACCATACTCCATACCAGTGTCTTGATCACTGCCATATGCCATACCCGTGTCTGGCATTTTAGGATCTCAACTGATCAATTTTCAAGTATATATCCCATAGTTTGTAGACTCTATAGATTTCACACAGACAAATCATATAAACTGTTTTGGGTTATTTTTACCCAAAAAATGTAGCAGAATACCTTTTGGCCTAAATTTATGAAGAACAATTTTCTATTTGCAAAATTTTATAAAAAAGAAGTATGCAAAAAATTATATTTTTCAAAATTTTCTGTATTTTTTCATTTATATAGCAAAAAAATAAAACCCCAGTGGTGATCAAATATTACCAAACGAAAGCTCTAAAAAGGATATAAATTTCATATGGGTACAGTGTTGCATGACTGAGTAATTGTCACTCAAAGTGTGATAGCACTGAAAGCTGAAAATTGGCCTGGACTGGAACTTGAAGTGGTTAAATGTATTTTTAAATGTAACTAGTTTTAGTATGTGCACTTGTTATGATAGTCTCCTTCAATTCCTTGTACAGTAGAGCTCAGACTAAGAGAGAAAGTGCAGCACTTGAAGCTTGTGGATGCAGGAAACACACTGACAGGAGGAGAACAGAGAGGGCAGAGTTGATGTCTTATTTGTGTTTGCTGCTCTTTCATTGTCCAGTAAGCAGACTGGAGATACGACAAGCATTGACAAACCATGGCACTGCTGCTGCTGCAATGAAGGTTGAGGATCTGGCTGTGCTCTCTGGAAGGGGTGCATTAATAAAAAAAACTAACTGCATAAAAATAAAATCCTATTGTAGGTAAACAGTTCCCATGTACTGTATGTAATTTAACTATGCAGTCAGCTGCTAGCCTGAAGTTAAAGTATATGTGAACCTTTGCATTGTAAAACAACAAACTATGGGAAAGGTTATCTCTTAAAGAGGCCCTGTCACTAAGCTAAAGATGACATATACTAACCTGGAATCCAGCGATGCGCTGTCCCTGGAACTCCCCATCATGCCACTGACATTTTCGGGTGGCTAGCTGACCGCTGTCATTGGCCATGTTGAAATGACGTAATTTCCATGCATGTGCGGGTGTTCCATCAAATTTGGCAATGCCGAATCTCTGCAGTGAGCTGTGCTTGCGCAGATGACTGTACAAGGCCAGACAAGCAGATAAGTTGCTTTAATGCAGAAGAGACAAAGCATGTTGCTTCTGCATTAAAAATCCTGCCTGTCCGCCCATTTTTATTCCTAGCCTAAAGTTCCACTTTAATAAAACTTCAGATAGAGCAATGAAAAATTTGATATTTTAAATGCTTGCCTGCAGTGTTTTTCCTTTCCATTTTTATTATTTTTAAATGTACTTTTGAACTTGCTAGAAAAATTTGATTACTCCAGGAGAGTCAATCCCTTACACAATGCTCTTGGCCTGTCATAGCCTTCTCTTCTTGGAGTGTCTAATTACTATCTGCGCTGACCCAGCTCCTCCGTCCTTATCCTTACTTCCCTATGTCATCTTTTATGTAGCTTTTGGAGAAGATTGAAGGGGAATATTAAAGAGTGTCACTTGAATGACAGTTCTGAGACTTCTGATATCACATTCCAGATAATATCCAGCAGCAGTTTCAGGGTTTTTGGATGTCTACACAAGGAGGCTTTTACAGGTAAAACATGTATAAATGATATGAAATGCATATATAATCTCATGGGAAGATTTTTGATGAAATGAATGATCTGGCAACAGGGTCTCTTTAAGGCCTGGTTCACACTATGCCCTGATCTGAATTGCAGAGGAACGCGCTGTGTGTTCCTGTGTGATTCATATGCGGGTCTATGCAGTACAATTTCAAGCCCATATACAGTATTTCACAGAAGTGAGTACACCCCTCACATTTTTGTAAATATTTTCTTCTATCTTTTCATGTGACAACTCTGAATAAATGACACTTTGCTACAATGTGTGTCTTGCCTACAGTCGAGCATGGTGGCGGGAGTGTCATGGTCTGGGACTGCATGAGTGCTGCAGGCACTGGGGAGCTACAGTTCATTGAGGGAACCATGAATGCTAACATGTACTGTGACATACTGAAGTAGAGCATGATCCCCTCCCTTCGGAGACTGGGCCGCAGGGCAGTATTCCAACATGATAACGACCCCAAGCACTCCTCCAAGAAGACCTCTGTCTTGCTAAAGAAGCTGAAGGTAAAGGTGATGGACTGGCCAAGCATGTCTCCAGACCTAAACCCTATTGAGCATCTGTGGGGCATCCTCAAATGGAAGGTGGAGGAGCGCAAGGTCTCTAACATCCACCAGCTCCGTGAGGTCGTCATGGAGGAGTGGACTCCAGTGGCAACCTGTGAAGCTCTGGTAAACTCCATGCCCAAGAGGGTTAAGGCAGTGCTGGAAAATAATGGTGGCCATACAAAATATTGACACTTTGGACCCAATTTGGACATTTTCACTTAGGAGTGTACTCACTTTTGTTGCAGCAGTTTAGACATTAATGGCTGTGTGTTGAGTTATTTTGAGGGGACAGCAAATTTCACTGTGATACAAGCTGAACACTCACTACTTTCATTGTAGCAAAGTGTAAATTCTTCAGTGTTGTCAAATGAAAAGATATAATCAAGTATTTACAAAAATGTGAGGGGTGGACTCACTTCTGTGAGATACTGTATTTGAATGGGCTGAAACTGAACCACACCGCGCTTAAAGTAGTGGATGTACTACTTTTTTAAATGCACAGCAACTGCAGTCCGGTGCAGGCAAAAGCAACGCGTTTGCAACCTGCATTTGGGGTGTCTTTAACTTTAAATGATCCCCACGGCAGATTGCAATGGCATTGCGATAGGAATGCGGTGCTGGAAGCCACTCGGGAATGTAGCTCTCTTGCACCGTATTCTAGAGTGTACGAGCCCTAATTCTGCTGTCCTTAGATACAAGCCTATGGTGACCAGTGGTGACTAATAGCACCTGATTTTTCTGATTCTCTGCATGTTCCCCTGCATTAGAGAAACTGCAGAGAGGAATAGTGGTGACCTATGGATCAGGCAGCTTTCTCTTATTTATTATAGTACTCATGTCAACTCTAGGTATGTCTTTTTAATGCTCTTTTATGATCTGCTGTGCCTTGAAGCTGACGTTCAGTCTGTGTTTATAGTAAAACATGCCTGTCTGCATTCATTAAACTTGTTTTAATTTCTGTAAAGCTCACTGGCACTAGATAAGTGAAGAATGGGACCACACATTACTTTGAATAAATCCTCAGATTCATCTTACACATTCCAAGAGCAGCACCTGATTATTTGTAATATTTAGCAAATATATTTTAATAAGTGAACCTCATTTTCATGGAGGTCCTTTAAACATGTGTTTCTAATGAAACCGAAAATAAAAGAGCATGTCGATAACTGCTCACTTAGTGAAGGCTGCCTTTTATGGCTTGGAGAAAATAATGACATAGCATGGCTGTCCTACAAAGCAGTCAGCACATTTGTGGAAACAATGCCTTTTATTCCATAGCCTGGAGGTGTCACTGTTTCAGACGGCGGGTATGGAGAACATTAGACGGTGAGCAGATGCCTGCTACATACAGCAGTAACAATAGTGACATCTGCAGACTAAAATGTGCTGCAAAAGAGGATCAGGACCAGCACAGATTCTTGTCTTAAGCAGGCCACAGACATGTCGAATGCTGACCGAAAATTCTTGGTCATTAGTTATTTGCATCAATAGTGTGCCAGCTGCGACACATGATTTTCGTGCCACAATCGAAAATGCCTTATCCAACATGCTGGATTTTATTTAGAAAAATGAAACAAATGATGGGACAATCGTATGAGCCATTTTCATTTTTCTATTGACAGGACGTTCAGTTTTCGACTCATCTGTAGCCGACCCTACCCTGGGTATTTTTATATTCTCTCATCGCTTCCTACTAAATCCATAGACAACTCTAAATGATGTTTCTCCATTTATTCTTACTCAGTATGCATTGGTGAAGTATATTAACCACTAAAATGGAAATTCCTTATTTAACTGGGGCCTATTTGTGTAGTAACATGGATGTCCAACTCCCCTCCACTATACCTATACACACTCCTATCATTGTTTAAAGTGCTTGATAGATGGAAATGAGATTAAAAAAATATAGTGATTCCCACTGGAATTTTCAGCATAGAACTTTGGGAGCTGCCATGTGGACTTGTTTTTAAAGCTTAAGTTTTATTAAATATATTTTTTAAATCAGCACCAGGGACAGTACTTACATTGAATGAAAAGTGTCCCTTGTGCTAATAGCTGATATCATCCTTCACTCCTCCCCCACTCCCATGCCCTCACATCTGTGATAATCCAGTGCATTGGGGGGTTAATATGGGCCACTGGAACCCTGTCAAAGTGCCCACTATTTCTGCCCTAATCCCCCCCCCCCTCCATTCATTAAAGCTGTACTGTACTTTCTGCAATGACAAGTGCTGTATGAATGGAGGAGGAGGGCATTTCATTCATCCACCCCTCCTCCATTCATACAACACTTTCCATTGCAAAAAGCAATAGCACAGCTGCTGTGAATGCAGTAGATTTCAATTAAATAGTAGTCATCAGCACAAGGGACGGACACTTTTCATTCAGGAAATAAGTACCATCCCTGGTGCTGCTTAAAAAAAAAAATTTAACCTGTTACCACACGTGTAACACATACACTATATTGCCAAAAGTATTAGGACACCCTTCCAAATCATTGGATTCAGGTGTTCCTATCACCTCCATGGCCACAGGTGTATACAATCAAGCACCTAGGCATGCAGACTGTTTCTACAAACATTTGTGAAAGAATGGGTCGCTCTCAGGAGCTCAGTGAATTCAAGTGTGGTACCGTGATAGGTTGTCACCTGTGCAGTAAGTCCATCCAT